TGCCCCTTTTTCTCTAAATTATATAAATGAGTTGTAATTTCTCCTTAGGAAAAAATAAACCATTAGTTAAAAATATTGTTTTTAATAAATTTAACAAAACTAAGTTCTATGCCAAAAACTGGGTTATAATCCGTTTTGATATTATTCTTTATATTTCACACACTAATACTATAAAGGCCAGCTATAATTTTCGTGCATGGTGCAATTTTTTAATAATTTTAGATATTGCTAAGATACTCTATTAATTTAATATACCTTTAACCGCATCTAATTGATTACATATAATGATTGTGAAGCACATTTTAAGCTTTTTATTATAAGTCTGTCGCGGTTAACATTGATGAACATCTCGTGACTCGTTTTGTAAAACCGATCGAAAATAAAACATGGGAAAATTGGAATGGTGCAATTTCCATTTCGCCAAATGCCATTTTTGAACCGTCTACGCTTGGAGATCTTGTAGATATTGTAAAACTAGCAAAGATAAATAATAAATATATTCGATGTGCTGCTCAAGGGCATACTGTAAGCTCTCTGTCTGTCACAGAGAACTATTTGGTGGTAATTACAAAGTTGAATCAGATTACAGTGCAAAAACATCCAAAATATGGCTGGACTGCTACTGCAGAAGCTGGTAAATGTTTATAATATATGCATTCAAACCTCCCTAAATACTCTAAATGCCGATAGTTTGTGCAGTATTTAGAGAATAATAAGAAAATTGCATTTATAGGAATCTATATAGTTCCAGTCAGAATTAAATTTTAAATTTAGAGAGGTGTCGGAAGTTGCATTTAGAGAAATCTGATCATGTATTAATTCATAATAAAGATAACGTATAAGAATGAATTACCGTATTATTTAATTAAAAAATAGGTACATCATTATCTGATCTTGATAAAGCGCTCCGGAATCATGATCCGCCATTAACTCTTGATTCTGCGCCTTTATCTGACACATTCCGAGTATCTGGTGTTATAGCAGTAGGAGCACATGGGTTCAGGACCAGTTCAGGCATTATGTCAGATCAACTTTGCTCAATGAAACGTCAGTGGATCCGGTAAAGTATGTGAATTTAACGAAGAAATAAATAAATCAGAATTCAATGCTGCAAAAGTTAATTTAGGTATCTGCTAAGCATTTACTTTTGATTATTACGTTTCTTTCACTATCTGACTTTATTATTTGTCGTGGGGATTAATTAAAGCGTGTATTTCTCTAAATTCTTGCCCAAATGGCTTTCTTATTTTATTACGCACTCACGTTTACTTTGTTCGTTCCAATAATAAAACTTTGCCCCTTCACTTAGCAACGACTCCAACCTTCGATCTCAAGGCACCACTGCGTTACAAGTTAGGCTTTTGCTTTAGTTTTTATCTAAGAACAATAGAAGTTGAGATTCGATTGCCAGATCGAACCTCTTATTTATTTATCACCAATATTTCCATTAACTACAAATTAGTATTACTAATAAACTATTAAACAATGATAGACTCTTATATAGCCTTATAGTCTTGCACTATTTAACTTCGTAAATGACAACCTTATTACTAATCATTACGTCGATCATCCTATATTTGATTTGATCCCTGTACGTTATACCCCGGATCATCTATCCACGTGCATCCAATAATAATCCCGACATTATTGCTTAGGTTTACTTGGGATAATCTATTCGTTGACTTTTCGAGTACAACCGATGTACAACCTTCGTGTGACTGTCAAAAGTTTTCCAATAAACGAATTGAATCCAAAATATATCAAAAATCTTTTAAAATCATCTGATGGTATTTTTTTTTAGGTTATTGGCCATTCAACGGATTTAATCAGAGTTATTCGAATCCTCTTGACCAGTGTTGTACATGGGACAGTTGGGACATGAGTTGGGACATTTTGGGACATTTTGGGACAATTTTTTAAATTAAATTTACTCAAAATTTTAATAAGACAATCTACTTTAATTTTTTTAAAAACATGCTCAGCACTTAAAAAAATATATAATTATATAGTTTTTAAATTAATTTAGTAATTATTAAGATCTAGGGACAGTTGGGACACTTTGGGACATTGGGACGTTGGGACGTTGGGACACAGCAAAAAAAGCTTGGGACGGTCCAAATGTACAACACTGCTCTTGACTATAATAGAGATGTAGTTGGGGTTGTGAATTATATACGGACTGATGAATCTGTGAGCTTCACACAACAACAGATCGAGCAAATGCATGAAGCTCAAAGACAGAATGCTATTCACCAGTATGAGCTCCTAATTAGTCTTTTGCAAAATCCTGAGGCAACTCCAAACATTAGCACCACAATACGCAACAGTGTTAATAGTAATAATAACGCTAGTGTTGTACTTCAAGCTCCTGATGCTATCCATTTCATTGCTGGCGAAGAATTAATCCCACATCGTTTAATGGAAATTGCATTCAAAGTTGATCCGGATTTTTCCAATGTCGTTGTTGAATTTTCTCATGTCGTCCAGTGAGCTTATATAATATTTTATTTTTAATATTTTAATCTATTTTCATTGCTCTTTATAATAGCTTTATTATATTTGCAGATATATAAATTTGCAATAATAGGAAAATTTCCATTAAATCGTTATATAGTTATCAGAACCATAAAATCCTCTGAAGCATTATTATCCAATACCTTTAATCATGATCCAAAAGCTTTATATTGTTTTTTTTTGATTTTGTATCAGTTATTGGTACTCCTGGATTTGAAGAATTTACACAAGTCATGGCGCAGAGATATTTTGATAAATACAAAACAAAGTAAGGAATTATCTTTTTTTTTTTACAATGAATTTCATTAATTAATTAATTGTACAAATTTTTCTATAGACCTCATTGGGGAAAAGAATGGGAATATATTCCAAATGTAAACTCTTATCTCTCTGACATTTTATCAGATCAAATTAAACAATTCGAGAAAGTGCGCGCAAAGTACGACCCTGGTAACATTTTCTTTGATAATAAGTCTTTGCAGGATATATTTAGTCGTGCTTTATATACATGAAATAGTAAAGGCCAAGGAAAAAGAAAATTAATGACGATAATAAAATCAGTTTGCAACTCAACAATATTACGTAGAACTAATTTGCACAGACATTATGCGGATACCAGTATATCAATATATAAGTAGAAAATGTTCAAATCTAAGCGCAAAGTAAAAATAATTTTTATGGCTGATGCTGAAAATTGCTGATGCAAAAAATTGGACCTGTTTTGATATTAAATTTTAAAAAATTTTTGGGATGTTCTTTACCAGATTCTTTACTATAATCAAAATACTCATACAAAACAAAAAAAAACAAAAAAGAATCACAAAAATAATACGTAATTTAATCAATTAACAATAAAAAAAATTCTTCTCTAGACCCGATATCAAAACCATAAAACCCTTACTTAAAAATACTTCTCTAGACCCGATATCAAAACCATAAAACCCTTACTTAAAAAACTTCATTCCAAATCTCAATCAAAACCTTAGTTAAAATAATATAAAATAATATTACTATAATTTAAACTGTTAATCAAAATTACTTTTAACCCCACCACACTTTATTTTAATACAACTTTCTACTATACAAATATATATATATATCATATTAATAACTCCCTTTAAACATCTCAAGCGCCTAGTTAAACAGGAATATTTATCTATTATACAGCGCCAAAAATGGTGCCTCCTGAAAAGTGTTCTTTTGTGTTCTCTTTAAATAGTTTTAGTTATTTGTGATATTATTCTGATATTGTGAAGTAATTTTAATTAATGTTTTGTTATGCGATTAATTTATATAGATAATACTTTAGTATACCCTCTTGTATATTATTTTCTTTTTTATTGTTTCCTTTTTTTACAGATTAGAAAATATTTAATTTATTTTAGCTATCTTATTGATTAGTATATTAAGAATTTATAAATTTATAAAATTTTGAAATAGATACATTCTAAGTTAAATTAGTTAAAGCTAACGTAGTCTCTCTCTCTCTCTCTCTCTCAAAAACAAATAAGACAAATAACTAACCCGTAAACCTAGATTTTATACATTAGTGTAGTTTTGTTACTTTTAATTTCGGTAAAATTTACCATTAATATTAATTTACAATATTAGAATTTACAATGTTGTACATGAATTGAATTATTTAATCATCGTTCTGATATATAGAAATCTTTGGATTATTAGATTCTATAGTAAAACCAATATTATTCGATCGAAGACCCAACACTGTTAAGGTAGTGTTCTTGCAAAAAGCATCAGCTAATGCTTTTCCACCTTCTGATCCAAGATTATTAGCGCCAAGATACAACTCCATTAAGGTAGTGTTCTTGCAAAGAGCACCAGCTAATGCTTTTCCGACGTCTGATCCAAGATTATTGTTAAGATACAACTCTATTAAAGTAGTGCTCTTGCAAAGAGCATCAGCTAATGCTTTTCCTCCTTCTGATCCATGATTAATCGAACCAAGATACAATTTTGTTAAGGTAGTATTCAAGCATAGTGCCTTGATTAATTCGTTTATTTTTTCTGATCCACAACATTCAGAAACAAGATTCCAATTTGAAGCATTCTTTTTATCTTTGTCAGTATGCTGACTGTTCTTGAGGATTTCTTCATAAAGTTCTAATGCTTTGAGAAATTTGCTTTTCTCAAACAGTCATGGAGTCTTTTCTTATAACAATATTACAGTCTTGCATTGAAATATTTTATAGTTACTGAAGCAGTAATTGGCAACTATACTAAAAATTCTCATTTATACAAATTACGTCATTAATTAAAAATTGTGCATATATATAAAAATTTTTTTTAAACACAGATCTCTCTTTCATATTTTTTCTTTTATATCAAACCTTTTATATTTGATTTATTCTCTGTATATATTTAAATTGTAATGTCTAAAAGTAAGTCAAAAACTTATAAAAAAACCAACTAGTGAACATATTTCAAATCTTTGCAATAAATCCAAAGTTTTTAATACTCAAAAGTCAATGCAAAATTGGATAAAAAAATTTCAACAATATCGATCAGATGTTAGATATGAAGGTGCTGCAAAAGAAGTTGATAATCCATCTGAATTAGAAGTTCAATTATGTGAGCACTTTACTGTTGTTGAAAAAGAAGATGAATCATCATATTCAGTATCTTCATTGTTAGCTGCAATAAGGGCAATAAACAGATTTTATAACTCAAGCATCAGTAAGGTTAAACCTGTTATCTTATGTAACTGGCAGGCAAGATTTTCAGACTTGTGAGAAGTACTTGATAGTAAAACAAGAGAGCTTTTTAAAAAAGGTTATATGAAATAAATAGATTTGATGCATTAATGTTTGAAGAAATAGAAGCTATTTTAAGTTATGAAGCTATGTTTAAAGACATTCCTAATAGATTATTATGTTGAATATTTTTTACAATGTCATTTTTTTAGCTTTAAAAAGAGGTGAACACTACACTTTAATGGCAGAACATTTTTACAAAAGAAAGATAGAGGTTTTGACATATATATTTACAAGTCTAAACAAATTAACACAGTCTAAATAATTGTAGTTCTGCAGATAAATTTTTTATTGCTTCTGAAAATATTACAATTATAACAGATTATGAAAAATACTTTTCTAAAAGACCAGTTGATGCTGATATAGCATTTTATTTATATTTGATCAGTACAAAAACTGTACCAGATATATGATTAATTTAAAATTTTTAATTTTTTTATTAAAATATTAAAATAATATTTACAATTTTATTTTTTTTTAGACTATTCTATTATTAAAGTTTGGTATCAAAAAATTCAGTTAGGTCAAACAAAATTAAAAACTTCTATAAAAATTCTTGCAGAAAAAACTGGAAACAATTACGATGATTGTCTTATTACTAATCAAATAAGCTGTAAACTCTTATATAACAGTTAAAAGATATTAATACAACTGATTATAAGGTATTAACAATTACAATATATAGATCTTTGTCTGAAATCACTTGTTATTAATAACCAAAAGATGGTATTCAACAATTTGTCCTAAATAATTTAATTGTTAGAATTGATTCTAGTAAGTATAGAGACTCAAGTTTCTTATTCTCCCCATATACTTCTATCTAAAAATAAGTTTCAAGAATTTAAATTTAATAGACAAATGTCAAGACAAATTCTTGATTTTTTACTTTTTTTAAAAAAAAATTTACATTAATTCTAATTTGTATTTTAATGACTAGCAAACCTTGTATCCAATATGCTGTCTAATTGCAAGCTCAAAGTACTGAAATATAAACAGCACAATTAGTATTATCAAACCTAAGAATTCTAACACCAATATTGCAATTAACAAACTCATTAAGTTCAGAAGCACTAGCACCAATATTACAATTAACAAATGCACCAAGTCTAGTAATTCTAGAATTAACATTACCAAATTCAGAAGCATTAGCACCAGCATTACAATTGACAAATGCACCAACCCTAGAAACTTCAGTACAAGTAATGCAACAAACAAACCCATTATCAAGCTCAAGTCATTTGTTAAAGCAAATTTCTAATAACTATAATTATATAAGGCTTAAGATATGTATAAAGTAATTGAAATCTAAAAATCACAAAAAGAATTTTTCAGAGAAATTTAATTACACATTTAAACATTACATTTCATATTTATAATCATTACTATACTTCAAAAAAATAGTTGTTAATAATACTATTTTTAATAAATGTTAAATTCTTTTATATTTGCTTTATATTAATATTAAAATATGCATATCAATAAATAAATATATGTAATCTGTACAAATATGAGAATTTTTAGTACAGTTATCAATTATATGGTTGCATAATAATTTAAATTATTTTATCAGGCAAGTAAAGTGAAGATAAAGTTGTAATATCGAGTGATGTGCCAATTAGATGGTTTTGACACAAAGTTTTATTAGAATTATTATATTAGGCAATAAAGAGAATATAAAATTATAATATTGAGTAAATTAACAAATATAGTTGCATTATTTTGACAACTTGGAGAGAACATGATATAATGCATCACTAGGATTATGATGACTCAAAGTATTATTTGTATTAAGTTGTTTCAAAACAACATGAATTAATTTTGTTTCTGGTGATTAGTAGGATCGTTATTTCAACATCATTTATAAAGTACAATGTATTGAAGCAGTATGCCTTTTATTATAACTTCTCTGCTTTCTCAGATAATATAATGAGCAAGTTTAAGTGGTAATTCAAAGGATGGAAATAGTGGTTTTCTGCTTAAAATTTCCCAAAGAATTACTTCAAAGCTATAATAACAGGCATCTAAAGTCATAAATGTTTGTTAATCTGTTTGATAGTCCAAAATCTACAATTTTTAACTATCATTGATAAATTAAATATTCATCAAATGCTATAAAATAAATTAATATAGTAAAATTCACAAATATATAAAAATAATAGACTTACAAGATCTCTATAAATAAATTTGTTATTGTGCAAAAACAAGAACAAACCACATTACTTTTTTTGCAATTTCAGTTTATCATCTCATTGTAATTTTATGAAATTCACTTTCAAATATTCTTGTAAAGTTCCATTGTTAGTATATTATAAAACTAATTGTAATATCCATCATTATCTATTAATTTATTAATTTGAAATCAATATTATAACATAAAAAGAAGTATTTATTATTTCATATTTAAGAAATAATTAATCGTGTATATACTTTACATGACTCCATAGA